ATTTCTAAAGCCATCTTAGAAAATTTCTTGGCAGCATGTCATGAAAAACATGCCTTTGACCTGGCAGTGCTCTTCTTGTCCCTTCCCATAGCACGTCGTGTGCTTGTGTGAGCTGGGACACGTGTGAGGTTATTCAGAGTTGTGTTTTTTATAAAAGCCCTACATGAAAAATAACCCCAGAGCCCACCAGCAGTAGACTGGGTGAATAAATCATGGAGTTTCATTCACATAATGAAGTACTGTTCTGCAGTACAGTGAACAGAATCCAAGTTATGTGGTTGATTCAGAAACCAAATGTTGAGCAGAAGAGGCAGAGGTAGGGGCTCTCTGCTCATGAGTCCATTTGTATCCTGCTAAGTAAAACAAGCATGCAGGCAAGCACCGGGCCAGACAGACCTCCAGCAGGCTGAAGGGCAGGCCTCAGACCCTGTCAGACCCAGTGCTCAAGCTGGAAGAGCTAGCAGTGTGCGTACTTAGCCTGAGTGACAGCTGCAGCTCTCCGCTTCACTCCTCTGTTAAACTGAACATTCATGCTTAATGTGCTTTTCTGTATGTGCATCAAGAGGTGGCAGTGTTTGCCTAGGGGCCATTCTGTTCCTGTGTTGGAGAGGTCCTGGGTGATCTGTGTGCACAAGAGGTGAATGTCTGGTTTACAGAGGCGTTCGGTGGTGGGACACAGCACGATTGTTCTGCTGGCCCGAGCTTTTCATTTGTAACTGAATGCAGGTTTTCCTGTTGATGAGGAATAGGAACTCTTGACAGGCTTCGTAAAAATCAGCCCCTGGGGTCAAGGGTAAGTGTGTTGTTTAAAGCAAATGCTTTTTGATTTATTGCCCTGTGCCCCAGTTAATCGTGCTTTTGTTTACTAGGTTTGCCAGACTAGTCAAGGGCAGCAGAGTGGGGGCAGTGCAGAGGCCTGGCCTCCCTTGTGGCCCCCACCTGCTTGTGAGAGAGACTTCTGGCAATACCCAAGGGCCAGACCATAAGACACTGTTCTTCAGTTAGTACTTTCTTCTCGTGAAGCATTGCAGTTGGAACAGGTCTCTAAGTTGGATCATTTTTATCTGTCTGACTTATAATACATGATTGAAAATTTAAAAATCTTAAAACAATTGTCCACATTTCTAGAGGCACGTGTGTGTAGTAAAATGCAAATAGTATTAAGTTTTAGTAGGTAACTGATCACCAGAAAAATCTTGGAAGCATTTTCTAAAGTTTGCTTGCATGGGGGTGTGTGCAGGGTGTGTGCAGTACATGTGCAGTGTGTGCGCATAGTGGCATAGGCAGAGTGTGTGCATGGTAGTGTGTGCGCATGATAGTGTGTGCATGGTGGTATGTGCAGTGTGGGCAGGGTGTGTGCATGGTGGTGCATGCAGTGGTGTGTGCAGGGTGTGTGCAGTGCAGGCACATGGTGGTGTGTACATGGTGGTGTGTTCAGTGTGTGTGCAGTGGTGTGTGTAGGGTGTGTTCATGGTGGTGTGTGCTGTGTGTTCATGGTGGTATGTACAGTGTGTGTGCAGGGTGGTGTGTGCAGTGTGTATGCAGGGTGGTGCATGCAGTAGTGTGTGCAGGGTGTGTGCAGTACATGTGCAGTATGCGTGCATGATGGTGCGTGTAGTGGTGTGTGCAGGGTGTGTGTGATACATGTGCAGTGTGTGTGCATGCTATTGTGTGCAGTGGTGTGCATGGTGTATGTAGTGGTGTGCATGATGGTGCATGCAGTGGTGTGTGCAAGGTGTTGCATGGTGGGTGGTGTGCGCAGTGGTGTGCATGGTGATGTGTGCAGGGGTGTGCATGGTGGTGTGTGCAGGGGTGTGCATGGTGGTGTGTGCAGGGGTGTGCATGGTGGTGTGTGCAGGGGTGTGCATGGTGGTGTGGCAGTACTCAGCCAATTGCTTTTTACACTTGCCAGAGGCCTTCATGCCAGAGGCAGCTGAGAAAGTAGCCTCTAGTCTGCAGGAAAAGGAGGCAGGAGCCAGGAGAGTGGGTCTGCATCCCCATGAAACATGGGTGCTACTCTGCATGATTTTTAGAAACAACCCTGGTAAGAGTGTCACAAAAAGGTGTTGTGGGTAGTTCTGCATGGTTTGCAGCAGGTTTTCTCAGAGCTCAGAATCAAACCTTTTGTTATGGAAAAGAGTTTGGGTGTTAATTTCATAGCTGGGGTTATATTTTATTTTAAAATGGAGAAAGGGAAGGGAGCATGTCACTAAGAAAGGTCAATTATTATTATTATTTGTAATTCTAGGGATTAAAYCCCGGGGTTTTACACTGAACTGCATCTCCAGCCCCCTCCCCTTTTTGCAGGCTTAAAAAAAATTTTTTTTTGAGACGGAGCGTACTAGGTTGCTAAGGGTGTCCTCAAATGTGCCCTCCTCCTGCCTCAGCCTCCTGGGTTGCTGGGTGAGTTTCCTCCTTGCCCAGTGGAAAATTGTGTTTTATTGAAAGAGTTTACCCATCTGGATCTGGACATACAGCTGTTGGTGGAGGTTGGTAGTATAAATAATCTTTTTTCAACATGCACCATAGTACTGCAGGCATGCCTGGTGAGCTGTGTGGCTAGGGGTTTGTGAAAGCATGCCTGGGCTTCTGCTGAGGCCTTCGACTTCTTCCTGGGGATAAGTTGACGGTGAGAGCTAATGCCTGTGGGTGGCTTCTGCATGTGAGGCACGGAGCTGCTTATTTAATTATCCCATTTAACCTTACCTGTAAGATAAATATTATTTCCATTTTATCAAGAGGAAGTTGAAGTACAGAGATCAAGTCAGGCTCCAAAGGCCTAGAGTTGGGAGGCGGCATGGCTGGGCTGGCTGCAGGACCTGACCGCTCATCTTGCGCCCGTGAACCTGCTACATTCTAGATTGGTTTAGGTCGTATCTTGTGTAATGATGGATTTTCAGTATTTTTACTCTGTTTCCAAAAATTAATATTTCTTATGACTTAATTACTGTATGGTGAGTATGGTTGTAGATTCTTAAATTTTACTATACATATTAAAATTCTTTAAAACAAGGTTACATTTATATGGAAAGTTGCCAATAGACCTACATGAGCTACATAAGAGCTAGTCTTGGGGCTGGAGTTGTAGCTCAATGGTAGAGTGCTTGCCTAGCACATGTGAGGCACTGGGTTCAAACCTCTGCATCACATAAAAAAAAAAAATGAAATAAAGATATTGTGTTCACTTACAACTAAAAAAAAAAAAAAATTAAAAAAACTAGTCTGTCCTCAGAGGGTTGTGTGTTCTTGTTAAAGGAAATAGTCACTGCTTGATTTGTCCATCTTTACCCTGCCAAGTTCATCTGAATGAAAGCTTAGAAGTTTCCAGAATTCTAATGTTCTGTGGAAATGTGATCCACTGCCTTTAAGATAATAAAAAAAGAGTCTCACAAACTATCATAATCCCAACCCAAGTATATCTTGTTTTACATTCTTAGCATCTTAAAATAAGGATTGTAAACTTCAGTGTTCTGAGTTGTGCTTGGTTCTATGATGTAGAAATATGAAGGGTTTGACAGGTGACCCACAGTGTGAGGGCGTTGACCAGTGAGTTCTTTGTGTCTTTCTTTGTCCTAGTCCATGGCTTTGTGAGACAGTTACACATACAGCCCTGAACGGCCAGCGTCAGTGCCAACAGTGTCCGACACATGGGGGCCACCTCATCATCATGGCGAGTGGGTCTTAATAGAATTTTTAATTTGTCTTCCAAGTCAGGGAGATTTTCTAAGTTGTATGTGATAAAGACTGTGAGCTTCCCCCTTGGGAAACAGTTGACTGTGGTGGTGAGCCTTTTAGTCAGCCAGCATCCTGACTGTCACCTGTTTAAAGTGAGCATGTTGCTTTGAGGGAGCTGTAGAGTCTTCTGCAGTTGGAAGTGGAGGAGGCGGTGCCCTCTCCACCTGCCCTGTGGCAGCACTCTGCAGAACTGCAGCCCACCTCCTCCCCGGCCCTCAGCCCTGGGCCCCTGCCAGGCTGTCCTCCGGGCCTGGGGTGTGCAGGGTCGTGGAGTATCTCAGGACCCTCCTCACTCAGTGCGACTCCTCAGGGCTGTCCTGCTGGCTCCCTGCCAAGTTCCTTCCTGTCTTGCTGGTGCATTCCATGGTGTTCCACAGTTCACTTGACCCCCTGCAGGGCGTCTGGGCTGGGTGTACAGAGGGTGTTATGGCTCTGGCTGAACCCCTAGGAGGACGGTCGCTAGAACATATGGTAGCTGCACATTTAGTTTTTCAGAAGCTGCCAAGCGCTTTCCAGCAGGTTGTGCTGCTCCATGTCCCCAGCAGCAAGCGGAATGTCATTTCTCCTGACCAGCGTCTCGTGCTGACAGTTTTTTATCAGACGTTGTGGTGGTTGTTTAGGAATCTCATTGGCCTTGAACTTGGATGTCCTCCGCAGCTGATGGCTTTGAACAGTTGTCTGCATGTGCTCTTCAGTGAAATATCTGGCATTGCCCATTTTCTGACTCGTTTGTTTACCTTTTTGCCATTGGGTTTTGAGAGTGCTCTGCATATTCCAGATATTAGATACATGCTTTTTTWAAAAAAATAGTTTATTTTTTAGTTGTAGATGGACACAATATCTTTATTTTATTTTTATGTGGTGCTGAGGATTGAACCCAGGGCCCCGCACGTGCTAGGAGAGCGCTCTACCGCTGGGCCACAACCCCAGCCCAGATACAGGCCTTTTTTAAAACTATGATTTGCAAATATTTTGCAACTTTTTTAGAGTAGATATTTTAATTTACAGGTGCAGACAGACCCACATTCCCTTTGAGAAGGGAAGGTTTGGTCCCTTCCTGTCTTGAGTGCTCCCATGGAGCCTGCCACCTCACATCTACTCTTTCGGCTGTTTTGGTCCCTGTGTCCTAGGAGTGATACCGTCCCCAGCCAGCACAGTCACTATGCTGTGCCCATCTGTCCAGCCCGGTGGTGCTGTGCCCAGCGGCCCCCCTCCTGCCTACAACTCAGGATACTTCTTTCTTTTCCTGGCTTCCCTGACTGTAGGAGAAATCCTTTGTCTTTGAGTCAGCATGGAAGAAGGAGAAGGATATTGTTTCCAAGGAGATCGAGAAGCTCCGAGTGTCCATTCAGACCTTGTGTAAGAGCGCGCTTCCTCTGGGAAAGATTATGGACTACATCCAGGAAGATGTGGACGCCATGCAGAACGAACTGCAGCTGTGGCACACGGAGAACAAGCAGCATGCAGAGGCCCTGCAGAAGGAGCAGAGGTGGGGAGGAGCCTGCAGAGGGGGCAGAGGAGGGAGGGGCCTGCAGAGGGGGCAGAGGAGGGAGGGGCCTGCAGAGGGAGCAGAGGAGGGAGGGGCCTGCAGAGGGAGCAGGGGAGGGAGGGGCCTGCAGAGAGAGCAGGGGAGGGAGGGGCCTGGAGAGGGCAGAGGAGGGAGGGGCCTGGAGAGGGAGTAGAGGCTATTTACCTGCGGTGCTGAGAATTAAAAGCCAGTGCCAGGCGAGTGTGCTACCACTGAGCCCAGCCCTAGCCCCTACATTTTGATTTAAAGTATTTGAAAAAAACATTCTTGACAGTTCTTTCTTACAAAACCCAATTTTGAGTTATGATAGAAAACTATTGCTCTTCTTTGTTGTATATTTTAGTTTGTATTTTATGCTTTAAAAACCTAAAGGGGGCCTAGGGTTGAGGCCCAGTAGTAGACAACTTGCTCTACCATATGTGAGAAACTGGGTTCCATTCTTAGCACCACATATAGATAAATGAATAAAATAAAGGCCCATCAAGAACTAAAAATATATGTTTAAAAAAAATGGGCTGGACATGATGGCACACATCTATAATCCCAGCTGCTCAGGAGGCAGAGGCAGAAATGTTGCAAGTTCAAAGCCAGGCTGTGCAACTTAGCCAAGACCCTGTCTCAAAATATAAAAAATAAAATGGGCTGGGGATGCGGCTCAGTGGTTAAGTGCCTCTGGGTTCAATCCTTAGTACCAAAACCCCAAAACAAAAACAAACCATAAAGGGAAGGTTWGTTTTGACTTCAGCTTTCCCAAGGTCATGTTAGTTCCCTCGCTCCCATTATTTAGTGCAGCAGATGAGAGCCTGGCACAGAAGGCCCTACTGGCCTGGCAAGCTTCTTCCTGTGGCAAGGCCTCCTGTCCTCTGACAGGAAGGGACTGGTCTAGATGGTGGTCCTTAGTGTCCATGGGGAAATTGCTGTGCACCTCTTGGCCAGCCCTGGGACTCTGTCAAGTATATAATTTGAGGACTTCAGTCCCATCATTTAAGAAACATTGGCATCCTTTAGTAAGTCTCCTATTTGACTTCTCTTTTGGCCGTGGCAGGGGTTGCAGAAATGCGAAATAAACGTTGTCCAGACGTGAGTGGTTTCCTCCTTCTTGTCATCAGGGTCAGAGATTTAGATGGTACCCTTTTCCTTTGGATGCAATAGAAGTTGACTTGTGCTGTCTTTTGGGGGTTATTAAGAAGCAGATCTAAAATGAGGGCAGCCTGATGTGCGCTGGTGTGTTCCCTTAGTATCACGGACTGTGCCGTGGAACCCCTGAAGGTCGAGCTGGCTGAGCTGGAGCAGATGATCAAGGACCAGCAGGACAAGATCTGTGCTGTGAAGGCCAACATTCTCAAGAACGAAGAGAAAATCCAGAAGATGGTGTACAGTATCAACTTGACGTCGAGAAGGTGAATGCCGAGGATTCCAGGGAGGAAGTGCTGTGTCCGCATGGCCCGCCATCGCGAGGAAGTACTGTGGGCTGCGTGGCCGTCGGGAAGCTTCCGGGCTCTGAAATGCCTGCACATAGAGTGTGTCGGGGGGCCTGTGCCCCTCCCGGCTGGAGCCCCCGTTGTTTATAAATGCTCTTCAGAACACCTTTGTGGGAGGTTTTTTTGCAAGCCTGTTCTGTCTTTCTCTGTAGCCTGTTTAGTCCTGTATCAGAATTCTCATGCAGGTAAGCGGTGTCGACACCAGGAGATGTTCTTTATTTTGGTTTTTGAGTCAGGGCTTACTGCATAGGCCCCAAACGAAGGGTCACCATGAACTTTCTGATGGGCACTTCATACACAGAATGAGGCCTGAAAATGATCACATTATATTTTAGATTTCCAGCTGAGCAGGGTGGACGGGTGTGTGCCGAAGCCGGGTTATTTTCTCCTTCTTCGTGAGCACATGGGCGTCCTTATGAGGTCATTTTTTGGGGCCCTGTTAACTTGTGCTTGTGTATCTGGCCCTCCAAGTTCACAATGGACAAGCGAGGTTTCAGGGTGGCTGTTCAGAGCCTCCTCTGGTATGGAGTTGCCACAGGGACACCTTTGCTTTCCTCATGGCCTTGCCCTGGGTGTCCCCGGTCAGCATGAGCAGAACCCCGCGTCCCCGTAGGAGGAGCCCTTCTGTGAGAGGCAGCAACATCTTCCTTTTCCTTGCACAGGCTTGTGTACCTGAGAGACAGTCCCTCAGGAGAAGCCACAAGAAGAAGACTTAGGAGGACAGAACAATACCTAAAATTTTTTGATGTTATCCACTTTTTTTGGAAATTGCTTTTTAAAGCAAAGTTATTAATTTTTTTAAACTTTTTTTTTAAGTTTTCCACTTTTTAAAGCAAAGTTATTAATTTTTTTAAACTTTTTTTTTTTAAGTTTTCCACTTAAATACAATATTGCAAATGCATACAAAGGTCTTCAGTTCCTGTGGGAAGGGTTTGTGTGTGGAGTTATACTTGCAGGTCCTGAGGGCCGGATCCTGGTCCTTCTCCCTCCACTGAGGAGTCTGCATCAAACGTGAGCATTGCTGAGAAGGGTCAGCAAGGGCAGCACAGCTTGTTTTAGGTCCAGAGCAAACCCTCCCTGGGCGGCCGTGGGCTCCCAAGCTGCCTGGCTCAGGAGCAGGTGCTGGAGATCCACCCTGTGGTGGCACTGCTGCTTCTCCTTCCCACCTGCATCTTGCAGTTATTTTTGACCAGTTCCTAGGACACACGGGTTGTGGTGGGAGTGGCTGTTGGTTACAGTCCTTCAGGTATTTATAGTCTCTTTGCTACTGAATTGAGTGGCTCAGCGGTGATCCCAAGTGGTCCCTGTTTGCTTCAGGTTAAGCCGCAAGCCTTTCATGGCTTTGTCCCTGTGAATAGGATTTGTGCGTTGCAGAAATTGCATACATTGTATGTGAGCAGACTTTTGTGTGAAGTGGTCTATCACATTGTATCATAAGGTTTATTTTTCTTTTATATGTAAATCGTAAAAATGATCACCTATTTTTTTATAAGTGTATGGATTGTACAATTCATTTCACACATGGAAAAATCATAAGCACTTGGATTTTTAGTTTTCAAAGGTATGTAGAAAAATACATCTTTTCATTCCTGTTGTGACACTTACCCCTTTTCTAATTTAACTGAAGTTTTATAAGACAGGTAAGTATTTACCAGAAATTTTAAGACTACTTATAAGGCTCGTGAAGGTCTCTGCATGTAGCTATCGCTGTATCTTATGATCAACAAATTGAATCCTCATCTTATTAACATTTTGAGGAAATATACCAATGGAATTCTTAAGTGTTTTCCTCGACTGTGCTTTATAAGTTCTGGAGTTATTCTTCAGGATTTTGCATTTACCAATTCAGTGACACTAATTTATGTTCAAAGGAGATGTGTCAATCTTTGGAAAAAAGAGTTCAAGGCTAAAATTTAAGCTTTCCACTTTGATGTTCATGCTTGTTTTCCTTTTCAATAATCAGCCTTTAAAGGAAACATCTCCTGAGACCTGTGAAGGCAGAAGGCATCCTCCAGGACGGGTGCACTTTGGGATTGGGTAGTGGGGGATCTAGTTGAATGTGCCTGGGCTGGTTTGCACACTGCCCTGGACTAGGTTGCGTGTGTTGTGCCTGGTGTCATGGCACCCCAAGAGAGAAAGGACAGCCAGGACCTTTCTCTGGGTCTTGAATAAACAATTGGCCGAAGGTGCACACATAAACCTGTTTCAAAGAGAGGCCACCTGCAGACAGGGTCATCTGTCATCATCACAGTCCTGGACGAGGCTCCTGCTCAGGGAGCTTCTGTCCACACCTAGGGGCACAGACAGCTCATCACTTCATCCAGAGGCCTTCAGAGGAGACCCCTGGTGTTCCGCAGGGTCCAGCGTGGCAAAGCAGAGCTTAGGCATGTCAGAGGAGGTGAGCGGCCTGGCGGAGGGGACAGCATTGCTGCTCCAGGTGCCTGGGGGCTGCCCCTGGATCTGCCCAGGACACTCTGACCCTGGGGCTTGTTTTTCCACGAGGAGTTTTGGTCAGCAGTTTATACAAGCTGGCAGGAGCGAATCCCCGATCAGGATACCTCCAGCTTGTCTTGTGTTGTCATGGAGGGGCTGGGAGGACTGTGTGTGTGTGTGTGAGAAAGAGAGAGAGAGAGGGAGCAACTGGGGTGCTTTAGTCAGCCTTTTGTCACTGTGACCAAGACCCAACAAGAGCAACTTGGAGGGAAAGCTCATTTTGGTTCATGATTTCAGAGGTTCAGTCAACAGTCAGCCAGCTCACAGCTCTGGGCCCCAGGGAGGCAAAAGAACGTGGTGACGGAAGGTGTGTGGAGGGCAGTTGCTCAGCCAAGCAGAGCTCTGCTCAAAGGCACCTCCTCAGTGACTCTGCAGCCACACCTACCTGCCTGCAGTCACCAACCAGTTCGGCGCTGGTGGAGGGTTGATCCAGTGCTTGGGTCCCAGCCTTCCCCTCTGGACGTCCTGGCACTGTCTCGCTCGGGAGCTTTTGGGGCACCACTGTGCCATCCATAACCTGGGGATGGAACTCAGGACCTTGCACAGTTAGGGGAGCTCTGCACCAAGGAAATCCTGTGTTCTTTTTATTAATTCAGCAAGAGAAAAGCAGTTTAAATGGGTTTTCAACCATGAAACTTACTTGTAAGACTATTTACAGCTGCATATCAAATGGATCATCCTTTTCTTAAACCAGGCAAATCCGTCTTTCTGGTAAGGCAAAAGTTCAGGAGGCGAGCTTGCCGCAGGGTGCAACCTCACAGGGCCTGGCCAAGGTCGTAGCGGGGTTGGCAGCATCCACCTCGCTCTGCGTCACACCCTTAAATTTCCCCTTCTGTTCTCAGCAAAAACTGAAGTTGGCTGGTGCTGTGACATAAATCACAGCATGCTTAGGCCACTGCTTGACGTCCCCACTGCTGCGCAGGTGCCTGCAGTGCTGCTCGTTGGGCCTGCGGGGCCTCCTGGGGTCTCAGGCCTCATGAGGGTGCTACCGCCACCCTCGCCATCCACTCTGGGCACCGTCCAGCTGGGCCTGAGTTGCACCTGCGTGATGACAGAGCGCCTCCCTCCCCACTGATTTGGGTGATGAGTGGTGCAGGGGCCTGTGAAGCCTGTGCCGATGGCTTGTGGCCATGAAGGGACAGCCTCTGAGCACGAGGTGCCTTGTGTGGGTACTGTGGYCTTCGTGACTCTTCCCGGATCCTTTGCTTTCCCCGGAGGTCCCTAAGCCCCATCCGGCAATGTGCAGGAGCCTCGGGACCTCAGACACTGGGCAGGGCTTCCTGGTCTCACTGGACAGGGTGCTGGCGAGGGTTTCCTCCTTGGCTGACGGTCCCGAGAACATCACACAATCCCTGACCCCTGCCCCTCCTCTCTGAAGGGCGCCAAATTCAAAAGTTTTCTCCACCAATCCCTGCAGGACACAGTGTCCGCTCACAGTTTCTGAGTCACCCTTCCAATCAGCACCCACCAAGTCGCCCACACAACCTTGCAAGCTCATGCTCTCTGCCCTCCTCCTCTCCTCTCTGCCTCTCCTTTCCTTCCCCTTTAGGCAGCCCCCCAATAAAATCTTTTGGTTGAATCTCCGTCTGGGTGAGTCACTCGCCTTTCAGAAGGACTTCCCTGCCAGCCGGCGACTGAGAGCTGGTGCTGACCTGAGAGGAGTATTCAGGTGGGCTGCCCTTTGGACAGGATGCTCCCCTCCGTTGGCAGAGGGCTGTGAATCCAGGGCTTCCTTCCCCTTCCACTCTCCAGCCAACCCCTCCCCTTGGGACGGTGGATGGAAGGAGCACAGGGTGTGGAGTCGGGAACCATTTTGTCGTATGTGCTTTTCTTCCTCTCTCTTCTCTGAGCCTCAGTTGTCTGCCAGTGGTCACTAGAGAACATTCTGGCTCCCTGCATAGAGGGCTGAGGCCTCTGTGGGGGTTTGGAAGTTTGTGGTCTCAACCAGGTGTGTGAACCATGGAGCCCATGGGGCCATCATTCAGGAAGCATCTGTTCTGTTTTCCTGAAGGGCATGAGATCTTCTGGCTTGAGTAGTGAAAAGCCAGCCATGCTGCTTTACGTGCTCCTGGGAGAGAAGTGGCCTCCCGCCTGGGGGGACAGAGAGGGCGCCCTGGAAGGAGGGAGGTGCCAGCACTTGTTAGGTGATCAGGAAGCCTGTGGGAGACTGGGGGTGAACTGGTGAGGGACTCTGTGGTGGTCACTAGTGATGGTGAAACCACCCAGGACCCCTTAGCTCCCCTGCTTGGGGTGGGAAGTGTGGGGATTGAGACCTGCCCTCCTGCAGCCCAGCCCAGGACACAATGTAGAGAAGCTCACTGCTGGGGACCCCACAGAGCCAAGGTCTCGGGGATGTCCTTAGACGTTCCCTGGGGAACATTTCCGACATCTGTGTAGGGCTAAGGAGAAGACTGGGTAGTGGGGAGGTTGCACTTGGGCCTCTAGGGCCTCAGGGTCCGTAGACGTCCTTTCTCACCAACTTAATCTGAAAATTGAGCCCTGTTATTAAAATGAGATTG